AATTGGATCCTGCATTCCTTTTTGCCTCACTGACTTTTGCTTGCCATATTCATTTTTTGAAATGTACAACAAAGCTAAACATGGTTCTCAGTCCAAAAACAGATGTGATCTTTTACAATTGGCTTACTTATAGACAAATAAATATAATGTTATGATTATTACACTGTGAGGAAGTTTCTATCCTGGACCACACTGTAGCATGCCTTATACAATTATATTTCTGTATAACATTAAGAATAGAATTTTAAAATAGTATTTTATTTACTTTGCATATTGCATTTTTTTAAGGAAGTGGAAGTTCGAAATAAAGATCTAGAAGGCCAACTATCCGATCTTGAACAGCGTTTGGAGAAAAGTCAGAACGAACAAGAAGTTTTTCGCAATAACTTGAAAACACTTTTAGAAATTCTTGATGGCAAAATTTTTGAACTTACAGAACTACGAGATAATCTGGCCAAGCTAATAGAATGCAGCTAAAGAACACAAGATCTCAGTGCCAAACTTCTTAAAGATGCACTATCTCTCTACATACAGGACTTTGTTGGGATCTGCATCAAAGTTGCACAAAATTAGAAAAATGCTCCTTCAGAAGGGCCTGTTTTAAATTTTCAACAATATACAATATACCGTATTTCAATGTGAAATTTCAGAATTCAGCTTGTAGTTAGTTGAAAAAAAAATAACTTGAAGTACAAATTACCTCCTTGTATATAATTGGCCATAGATAACTCGAGGGTATTAACAGTAATTGAATGCAATCCTTTTCTAATTATTAGCCAATGAAATAAGAAGTGCTTCAAATGACATCCCTCTTAGTGTTCCACACAATGTAGGCAATCAGTTTTATTTTCTTTGTTAAGGCAACCGTATGCTGTGTTTTGTGCAAGAACTTTGTGATGACAGCCCTCTCTTTTGTTGTAATCTGAATAATTTCTCAGGATATTTTGTACTGTTGAGAAAAACAGTGCATTACCAATTAATTCTTGCCAGGAGTGAGAGAGAGTTGCATCTTTAATTCAGACCTAATGAATTAATGCTTGTATAGAGTTCTTCCCTTTTTTTATACTGGAAGATACTGTCTTTATTTACAATGTTCACTCTGGTGTTCTATAATATTGTCTAGTGTATGGTTTACTTTTTTCCTATTGGGAATTCATGTATGTAGAAATTATGTATTTCATTTTGTTATGCATTTTGAAGCCTATCTATGAAGACAAGCAAGTCCCTGAAAGGTATTTTAAATTTTGCTATGTTTTAATAAGGTTCAATCTATGCTTATTGAATATCACATGGACTTATCTTTTCTTATCAAAATGTGTTTTACTAATTATTTAGCAAGAATTCTCAAACTGTGGAAATATAGTTATTGCTAGGGCATTGACCTTGCTCAGGCAATTAAAGAGGGGGGAAAGGATTGTATTAGCATAGAGAATTTTTTTTCTGCTGTATGTTCATGAAACATCTTTATTAGAAAGACTAGCCAGGCTACGTTCTGAATTTCAAAACAAGACCTGAATTCAGTTATTCTCAGTGAACCTCTTTTTAAGTTGTATTGATGTAATTTACAAATATTTTTGCCAAATATGTATTTCTTTATATATTTTTTATTTTAAAGGAAAAAAGAAAAGCAAATTGAGGGTCAATCTATGTTTCTTGAATGGGAATGAGCCACTCTTGCTGTAGATTGTCTGATATTGCAAAAGATTTTTAAAAATTTAACAAAAAAGAATCAGACAACAATGCACTGACCTTTTTATTTACACCAAATTAATTTGGATGTTAAATATAAAATACACCTTAAATATAATATAAACTCTGTATTTTTTTCCACTTAAGGACTGCTATTCAAAGCTAGATAATATAAATCGGGTTTTTTATGTGTGTACTGTATGTATATACTGTATAATACAGGCACTCTAATTTATATTTAAAATGGGATAAATATTTGGCTTAATTTATAAAATGACATTTTCTTTATCTGTAATTTAACAAGTGTCTCCTGAAATATCAAGATTATTATTAATTAAACACTAAATTATAATGTATTATACTATATGTACTGTACACATCATTTGTTTTGTCCATGTTTTAGAGTATTTTATCACTTATTTTATTTATTACTGGGAAATATTTGTTCATTGCATTCATAGATAAAAGCTTTCTATGGTGATTTTTTTAAACTTAATAGCTAAGTGTTGATGATGTGTAACCTTATTGGTCAGAACAGTAGTGATTACCTGATTTTAATTTACCTGAAGAAGTTTGCACCTCATTCTGTTGCTAGATGAGCGTCACTCAGAAACATCTTCAGCAAAGTATAAAATTGGTGTAATTCTGGGACGAATGAAGTAAGTTCTTGCTCGGCATTCTTAATTATAGCAAGTTAGAACAGAAATTTGATGGCAAAAAATTAACATTGTTTTTAATAAATTTTTAATACAAGGACATTTACATGTGGGGAAAAAGTTTACAAAGTATTTCCACTTCAATGCTGTGTATATGTGTTGTACAAGAAAACTTATTTGTATATGTACACACACATATGTATATACAGTATATAAAAAAATTAAATGTGCACATTTAGGATATTTTCCTATTGAAATTAAAATTAGTAATTGGAAATCAATATTTGGGAATTTCTTTTCTCATGTATATTTAGATGCTTGACTTTGGGTTCTTTTGTTTGTAAAATAAAATCTAAGAGGGCTGTACCACTGAATTCCCAAATGTCATCTAATATGTATATGGGATAAGGTAAATATAAGTGCACATATAAATTAATTATATTAAAAATCTTTTAATGTTCATTTACATTAGATGGGTGTTAGAAATTATATGTTAACAATTACACTAAGTTGTTCTTAACTAAATGGCTCTCCTGCACTAGCATATATGCCAGAAAACACTTTTGATTGTCATAGACTAAGAAAAGCAAACAAGAATTTACATCGAAGAACAATCACATTGTGTATAACTTGTTATATGACAATTATGGAGTCTTGTTAAAAATTCTCTTAAAACCCAACAAAATACAGTTTTTATTTTGAAATACAACTGCTGTTCTGGAGAATGTACTTTATTAATTTTTCTTTCTTGAACTCTTTTTAAGAATTATAAACTGTTCATTGAATGGCAGCATTTACCTTAATTCTTCAGGTGCTACTGGATTTTGAATTAGAGTGTCATGTTGTGAAATTATGACTTTGACATAAAAAGGTTTTATAAGTATATCCCTGTCTGGAAGTTGGTTATTGGGGCCTCTTTCTCATAACTCTACTCCAGAATTTTCCAATAATTTCATTCTTCCATCTAGAATTCCTTGATCCCAGGCCACAAAATTCATCAAATGAAGCTAATAGGCACCAGTTTCATGATTGAACAATGTGGGCTTATTCAGAATCAAGTGGCTTTTGTTGCTTAATGACCATTTTAATATAAGCAAGCTGAAAGCTAGACAAATAAAGCACCTATTTAATTGGTCCTGTTTGAAAGATACTCAGATGTAAACTATGGATAATAATGATCAATAATACGATAGTACTTTGGGGAAATCAGTGCCAATTGCATGAACAGAAGATCTTATTTCACTTATAAAAGAGACTGCAATACAGGAGATCCCACCCAATCATCTCCTGTACTGGAACAAATTTTGAGGGTACAATAAAAAGTTTCTTCTTTCACAACAAATGGAGATTCTCCCCCTAAAAAAACTGCTTCCACTTTTTAAATTGTTTTGTTTTTAAAACTAGTACACAAAGCAAATAGAAAATATTTAGTTGTAGCTAGTTCCATATATTACATGAAGAGCTGTTTGCATGATCAGCTAGCCCCAGTAGGATTATAGATCCCAAATGATCATTGACCATTTTGTGAGGCCAAGAACGTACAGTTGTGTCTTCTGTCTACCACCAGCCCACCAAAAACCAACTTCAACCCATCTTTATCTGCTATATCCGAAGTAGTGTTCTCTAAGTAGGGCCTTCCAAGTGATGCTGCCCAGTTCACCTACTGTACTTTGTTCCATTGTAGGCAAATCCCTCTACATCAACTGGTTACTGGGTGCTATGACAGGAATCGTTCAGTCACTGGCCTTCCCAGTCATTTTTTTTCACTGGTGAAATAATTAAACAGTAATAATAATAATAATGATGATGATGATGGAAGGGACCTTGGAGGTCATCAAGTCCAATCTCCTGCTCAGGCAGGAAACCCTACACCATTTCAGACAGATGGCTGTCCAGTCTCTTCTTAAAAACTTCCAGTGTTGGAGCATTCACCGCTTCTGGAGGCAGGTTGTTCCATCGATTAATTGTTCTGTCAGGAAGTTTCTCCTTAGTTCTAGGTTGCTTCTCTCCTTGATTAGTTTCCATCCGAACTGAAACAATTCTGACACTTCCCTGTATTGGCTATTGCAGGAAAAATTGTAGAATGTGGTGTTTGTTGTTTTCATGGGAGATGGAGGGGTAGCAAAATGGAATTGATTAGTCAAGATCTACATTAAATGGAAATAAAATCCAAGCAACAGGCTGTCACTGGGACCAAACTGGAAGAATTGAATCTAGAAAGGTATTTCTTAAACTGATTTCATTTCCTCTGCGTTTATGTACAAAAGCCAAGAACTTTAAGGCTGAAGTATGGCTGTTATCTAATTGGATAAGATTTCAGTTTAACATTGCATGATCTGCCAACAGATTTGGAACTGCAAAGAGGTATTGGAATCTATTAATAACTGTGATGATGCAGTGGTTAGAATGCAGTAGTGCAAGCAAACTCTGCTCACAGCCAGGAATTCAGTGCTGACCTGCTCAAGGTTGATTCAGCCTTCCATCCTTCTAAGGTCAGTAAAATGAGGACCCAGATTCTTGGGGCAACATGCTGACACTGTAAACCGCTCAGAGAATGCTGTAAAGTGTTAGGGAGCAGTATATAAGTCTAAGTGCTATTGCTAATTATTCCACCACCACCCCAGCAATGTGACAACATCTACCCATGACAGAAACTGTATTCAAATAAATATCTTTTATTTAAGGAAATGAAGGAGCAACTCTTAAGCACCAAAACTTGAAGTATGTTGTTACATTGCATGTTTAAGAGACAGTCATTCAGGACTTTCAGTACAGGTTTGAATTTTGAAGTCATGATAGTAGAAAACATGAAGGACAAAGCAAAACAACATAATTACTGAAAGACTGCACTAAAAGAAAAATAAGCAAAAAGAAATAGTTTAAACTTTTAAAATTTTCAAAATATTGCTAAGAATGCTCATTTAGTTTATGTATCTTGTTTAATACTTTAGAATACTGAGCATTATAAAGGTATTGCAAAGGTTTGCAGGAATATGCTTTTTTTAAAGAAATGTCCATTAATAGTATCCATTAAATACAGCTGTGTTAAGTACTGCAGTGTGATTTAAATTTTACACTAAATCAATGAATAGTAATTTTTATTTTAGCTTAAAAGTGAAATGTACCATATTTTCTAGTACTTACCTATGCAATTCTATTGACAGCCTTTTGCATTTCAGTAAAATATTAACACAGCTGTGATATTGGCAACTCAAAACAATAATTAATAATTAAATAGAAAAACACAAATATAAGAGGCAAGTAAAATGTGTTATTGGGAAACCCATCTGGACATCACTGGTACTTTTAATAGGTGTAAGCAAAGGCTATAGATGACATTAGATGAGGAATAAATTCTACACACTCGATTTAACAAACGTTCACCCATCTGTTGTTTGACTAGAAGGAAAAAAGCATTCAGAAATCTGTACTATTTTCCCTGGAAGAAAGTATAAGTATAGCAGGAGAATAATTTAAATCAGGAAAATTGAATGTTAGGATAGGAAGAAATGTATCAGACAATTCTATCTGGTGATATCTGTGGCTATCTTTATCTTTTTTAAAAAATGGAATGACTCAGTCCTTGTTCTCAAAATGCCCTGTTTTGGTTTACTTTCAAGAACACACATGATGCATGAAATCTGAAAGTTGAGTCATGACAACTGGGCTTTTCATTTTTTGTTTGAAACGTTTCCCTGCTTATTGAAGTAGCTTCTTCAAACTTATCAAGTTAGGACCCACCTAAGAGAAACATTTAAAAGCAAAGTCTCTTAACACTTCTCTGCCTATGCACCTAATGAGCCTATTCAGAAATGAAACCACCCTGGAGAACATATATCAGGTCCAACTAACCAACTTGCTTAGACTGAAGTAACTATTTGGATAAGCAGCAAAACGTTTCAAACAAAAAAAGAAAAGTCCTGTTCCCATGACTCAATTTCCACACAACTCTACCTGGATGTCAGAATTTTTATCAATGATGTATAATGGTAATTCCTAAAGCATGACTATATAGGCAAACAAGTTTTGATTATTCTTTGTACAAAGTTTTTGCAAAATTCTAGGGTTTTGGGAAAAACCACAACCAAACTAGCACCTCAGGAACAAAGACTTTATCTTAGTGGCCTCTTAAATTTACTATTATTTTACCTGTATTGAAAGCATGGAACTCACACATATAATCTAAAATAGACTAGCTGGGATTGAGATTGGGGAAAATATTTGTGCATGCTTGAGTCAGCGTGGAAAATGATAACTTATATATAAGATAGATCTCTTTACCAATAAAGGACGGAAATGAGAGAGACAAATGAGAAAGGGGAAATAATCTTCTGCTTCTAAAGTGATATCAGAGGCAATGTGTAAATGTTACAAAATAAAATCATGTTATTAAAATTTGCAGTTGATATGACAAATAAATGAATAAATGAGCAATACCCAATAAACACAAAACTGCTTGTCTCACTACCATAATTTTACAGTGAAAAATAAACAGTATAAGAACACATTCATAAAAGGGATTGCCTTCAAATTTTGAACTTATGTGAAAGTTTGCATTAATATAGCACAATTAAGTAGTAGATTTCATTATCATACTCCCCTTGGGATTATACAGTTCCCAAATGACAGCAGGGATATAACAGAGCTACAAAAAAATAAAAGAATCAAAAGAAAATTCCAAATTTAGGACGTGCATATTCCCTCAGAAAAGGTGAGAATAGCATATATTTCTGAAACTACTAAATTGCTCAAAGAGCCTGTTCATTCAATTACAAAACTGTATTTAAGACAAGCTCAGGCTACCTTTTGAACAGAGATTGTACTAGGATATTTTAAATGAACTTAGTATCCAATCACTGTTAGCATACTGGCCCAGAAATGAAAATAGAGATAGAAGTGGATGTTTGTGGCAGTGACCAAATGGCTCATCAGAGATTGCTAAATTCACAAATGACAATTTAATATTAATTTATTTTAATAAAATATATGTCTAAAGTAAATTTGGTGGCTTTTATGTGTTCATTATTGGGAGATGATCGCCTCAGTTGGACAGCACAAGAAAAATATTTTCTGGTATTTTTCCTTATAAAAAATCCAAGTCCAGTTTAAATTCTTCTACTTTTAGTGTATATCCTGTCAAAATGGGAGGACATTATGATACAAACCTTAAGCAATTGTGGCCAAGATCCTGAAATTGGTCTAGATCAAATAAATTATCCAATAGACTATCAAATGAACTATAGCTAATAAGAAATCTCCTTGCAGCCACATCATTCTAACATTTTATACATTATACACTAAATTGTAAGTTAGTGCACTATGATCAAACTAGACCTTGAGACATTATTTCTTCAAAAATATATATATATATGGTGTACTGGAGATTCTTTATGGCCAGTTACAACAATATAATTGCCCAATGTTGAGTCTCAGTATGAAACAAACACATCAAACTCAGTTTTATTTCCTCACTTTGATTTAAGAAGGTAGAACCAGTTTGCCACTAAGTCTATTTCCTTTACACTTAAGTGTTGGAAAATACATTATTTTTTCACCTTAGGTACAAGACCAGGGTAAGGAATTTCCTGAAATAGGCGTTTGGCTTTTTTGTTTTTGTAATTAGAGTATGAAAATTGAAAAATAAATTTCTGGCACAAGGCATTTATAAGCCATGATAGATTTTAAAGGGCCCAATAAAAATGGGCTTTTATTTGCTTCTATTTCTGAAGCACTATTTAGGAATCCCACATAATTGTCTTAAACAACACATAGGGTTGTGCAAAATATTAGGAAACAATTATACAAGTTACATGTGAAATGTCCATATAGCTCCAATCCATGAATTATATAAGATTTTCTTCAGCAACTACATGTTTGTTTCATTCAAAACAACATTAGCTACATTTATAGGATAAAAGCAACTAGTGCTTTATTTTTCCAGCTATTAATGTAATAACTGAAAAAAATGTGTATTTTTCTGCCGAAGAATAGTTTTAATTCTAAATACAATGAAAATCTGACTGCCAAGGACTATATCAAGGTGTTAGTTTGCTTCAATTATCATCAGATTGACCAAGAAGCCTACATTCAATCCAAATATTTCTTCCCGTATGTATTTCTATGAAAAACTGCTGTTGCTTGATTAGTGTCATTCCTAGTAAAAATAAGGTGCTTTTAACTGCTGCAAGTTTCCCTAGTATGGCTTTGGAATGTTACACATTCTGCTTCATCTTTTAAAATCATTATGATTATCTTCAGTACCAGGATTATAAAGCATAACAATTAAAATAAATTACGCTCACAAATCCATACAGTTTAAATTACAATTCACTCTTTAAAGGCAATGTAAATAAAATAAATTATTGACAATTATGAAAGTTTCCTCTTCCTCACAGGGCACCATTACAAAAATGTACCAATACTATGAAAAGCTATAACTGCCTAAAATGAAGCTCAAGAGCAAAGACTTCTTAGGGTGAAATACATATGCTTCCTATATCCCTGCAAAATGCAAGTTAGTGCCATTAAACTTGTTTCTGTGATTACAATTTTTAAGGTATAAGTTGCAGTTTTGAAAAGTTCTGCAAGGAAAAGATTGAAATTAGAAACAAAGATATATATGCTAAATGACAGAACATGTAAATAATTATAAAACCCCAAGCAATTAATACGATCGTAATTCTTTTAACAATTGTATAGGAGATAAACCAATTTTGTGAGTACTACTGTTCCCCTTCATCTTAAATAAATTTTCAAATGGAAATATTTAAATGACTTGGGCCTCTATCATATATTTTCCAAATGATACTACTTGTTACTTGGCATTTACCATCCCTTTTTGTCAGTTTTATTTGTACATACGCAGATAATTTACTGATATATAAGTTATAGATTAAAAAACTAACTTAAATTTGTCATTCATTAGTAATAGGAAATAAGAGTTGCATGGCAGCATGCAACATTAGAATACTGGAATTCATCATTCAAACAATCTTTACTAAGATCTTTTCTTAAATGCTTACATACTTTATAAGTTTATTTTGAGAAATATGCAGACTTGAGCACTATGACTTTTTAGCCTGCCACAACTTTTATATACAATGGGCTTTAAGCAATAAACTTAAGAATTACTTCTAGTCAGAAAACTTTGACTAAGATAACAGCACATGGTGTTGACCAATAAACTACTGCTACTGTACTCTTAACTGACAACTGAACCAATCTTCTCATCCTAACAGGTTATGAACATTTGTACTCTAAAGGGAAAACTCTAGAAATGAGATCAACTATTGTACAGCAGCCAGTGTATATCTTCCTACAAACAAGCCATTTTTATACTCACGCCATTTTCATATTCTTGCAATAATTAAACTATATTTTTTAAAAATATTCATGCACTTTTCAAGGCAAAAATCTTAACTATAAAAGCCTGAGAGCTTCATATACTTCTCCCATAAATTCAAAATCTGTGGATGCAAAATAATGCAAAGATTTCTGTATCTTTGCACAGAAAGTCTGGTAATCGATTGGTAAGGGCCTAGGGACATGTTGCTTGAAACTTCTGCTACAAATGATTATACAAAGTTTAGCATGATCCACATATCACCTTCGTTGTAGAAGTTCATGTTTTGTGCTATGGCTAAATATTCAAACACAGTATATTTATTGTGGACACAATTAACCATCAGTGCAGTACGGACATTATGGGATTTTCTAAACTTTACAGAGTTACATTTTGCAGTTATGAATTATTGCCACAGAACCCTGCATTATCTGGGATTACAACTATGAATAATGTATTACAGCATGTTCAGTTTTTCAATGAAACAAATATCTGACGCTAATATAACCAATATTATTTTTCTGCCAAACTGTTTAGTGTTCCTATGTTAATTGAACTCATACTATTTTAAGCTTTCCTTTAGAAGACAATATTTTAGTTTATAAGGCAATAAATATCTGAAGAAATGCACCTGCCAAGTATACAATAGCAGGTATCTTTTTGTCATTAATAGACAAGGGAACTGCAAGTAAGAACCAGCTGTGCTGGGTTATGATTCATAACATATTTAAATGTTTTATGTTTTTTTCCAATTATTTGTTAAAAGAAGGGCAAAATAGTTCCAAAAAGTAAGTAAAATTACTATATGCACTCCTACCAATATGCAATCTCATAAAATATCTTTGCTACAGGACAACAGATTAGTATAGTAAATAATTTTAACATGATTTTTCCTAAGATAAGGGATCTTATCCTTTTTCAAGCATATAGTACACTTTAACAGAAGGACATGGCCAAACTCAAAATTCTCCTGAATTGAGTTTTGATCAGTTTTAACAGGACAAGACTAGCCTTGATGGCAGGAATAATGTTTAGTATTCTGACAATATAAAATGAGCTGCCTGCAGCTATTAGTCATGCTGTTTAGGAATACATTTCTTTAAGTATTCACTATATTAAAGGCTTGGTCTCCTTTAGACGATTATCCTGGAGTTAAAAAGAAATTATTTACAATAAAGTAGGGCATTACATAATTCAAATATATTTCTAACAATGAATGGGAATAATGAAAATGGAAGGGGGAGGAAAATGATTATAATTTTACAATTTAGAAGTAAAATCTCATTTCAATTTTGCATTCTCCTTAAATAAAAGTTCCTTATCAAAGAACAGTTAAACAAATAGATAAAAATAACTTTAAGTGTTTTCATTATAAAATATTGCTTCTATAAATAAAATGTATAACTTTATTATAACTCAGCCCTGCAATTAAAATGTTACTATTCGTAAGAGAACAAACACTAATTTAAAAATACAAGATGTATACAGTATCCATGGTCTTCTAAGGGTTTTGCTATGTATCATTTTAGAATGCAGAAGACTGTAAACAAATTTTTAAATACATGAATTTCATTCTTAGAGCATTTTCCATTAAACGTGTAACAATTTTTCAATTTCAAACTAATTTGTAGTTTGAATTATTAGTAGTTAAAATGCATTTTCCTTTCAAATCTACCTCCTATGCGAAATGAATTCCTCTTGGTGTAACAAGAAATTAATGTCAATGTAGCAGTACTTTTTCTTCAACACTGATATCTTCAATGGAGTCAGACTTCATACTTGTTCTAGTAAATTATGCTGGGAAGAAGCTTGGTTGCAAAAGCTGCTGACATGTTTCACACATACTGTATGTAAAAAGTGAAGAATCAGAAAATATTTTGAAAGGTTCTTTCTCTTCAGGATTATGCAAAATGTGCACTTAAATAAAGCAGCTTTTGGTTCAACTGAAATCTTCTAGTATGAATTTAAAAAATGTATTCATGCACATATCAAATAATTTCTCAGAATAGTTCTCCTAAGGTGATGACCAAACTGTTGATTATGAATGTTCAGAAGTGAAACAAATATCTTATTCATTGGAATCCTTGGACCTGTTAAAACAAAAACACAGAAATTTGAAAAACTGCTTGCAAACTAGTCTTCGAGCTACATTAAAATTGGCTACCAGTGAAAGCATTTATCCTTTCTTCCCTTCTTAATCAATCAGCTTTGTTTTGTAGAACATCTTACTGCCATTTTTTTTAAAAAATGTGCTAATAAAAAATGGCTTGTGTCATAGAATTAAAGACACACAACTGAACAATGTGCCAATCTGAATGCTGGTTTCTAATTAAAAATATAGTTAAACTGTTCTAAAGAAAGAGAAAATGGGAGCAAAATATAGTACATAAAATTTCAGGAATGCCAATTTCAAATAAAATCCAAACTCAGTCTCATTCCTTAAGCTTAGAGCAGTGGTGGCGAACCTATGGCACGGGTGCCAGAGGCCTCTCTGTGGGCACACGCACCGTCGCCCCAGTCCTAGGCCTTCAGCTGGGTTTTATAAAATCTTTTCGCTTTAGGCCTCCGCCGCCGTGTGCAAAAAAAAAAAAAAGGTTCAATCAATCAGACAATTTCAACTTCTCGGGGGAAAAAAAAGATCTTGCAAAGTTGGAATTGATTGAACTTTTTAGTCCCATCCAGGCTGCCGTTACCACGGCAGCCACGCCCACCCAGTGGGCCATACCCACCCAATCGGCTACACCCACCTGGCACTCGATGATGCATAAGTGGGTTTTGGGTTCCAGTTTGGGCACTCGGTCTCTAAAAGGTTCGCCATCACTGGCTTAGAGAAATATTAAATAGGGGCCCATGGATGGTTAATTTCATGACAAAGAAGTGCAAGATGATTAAGAACCTCTGAAAAATAAGATACCAAAAGACAACTGCAAACCACTCTAATGAGGAAATCACAGACACTTTAGGATAAACTACTATGGATGCATAGGCAGCTTTCAACTGAAGCAGTGTCACCTCATAAGACATTGAAAGCATGCCTTCTCTGTCGTTATGCCTCCCTTATGGAACTTCCTCTTGGAAATTTGGATCACCCTGACTTTGTTGGCTTTCTGGAAAATGATGAAAACCAAGGTTTTCTTCTGGGGGTATGATGTTAGAGTAGCCAAAGATATGTGTTTGCTATGAAAGTAGCACAATTTTTTATAAGGGCCTCAATTTGGTTTTTAAAATTAATTTTAATTGCATATAAGTGTTTTATCTCTATTTGCCAGCCAAAGTTCAATTGGTGATTGTATACATTTGTTTAACGATTAAAATAAGACTTTGGAAATATAATTACCATTCTAGCAAGAAAATAATTGGGCAGCTTAGAGAGCTTTCAATTAAATTGAGAGTTTAAAATGATATATACAGATAGTCCTTGAGATATGACTGATCACTTAACAGCCATTTGAAGTTGTGACAGACTCCCCAAAAGCTATGTACGACGCCATTTTGAAGTTACGGCTGCTGCAGACATTCACCTGTATGACCAACCGCACCTCTCCCTCCCCCATCCCATCCTGCCAGGACATTGCACTCCTTGGACCAACTCCCCACACACCCGTCATCCAACATCCGCTTACCTTATCTAGACCTCATGTTGCAGGCCACACATCCCTGCGCCACGTGATTACCTCCCAGAAACAGTGGCATTTTCACTGCACCTGCAATTCCTTGTGGGTACACCAAAATATCAGTCACTTCCATGAGGTTGCCATACACAGCCCAGGAACAAACTACTCCATTTTGCTGCAATGCTGTCTGCACCGTACGCACACTGAATTAAGACAGCAAAATGGAGCAGTCTGTCCTTGAGCTACATGGCAGCTGCACCATAAGGAATTGTGCGGTGAAAATGTGTACTGAAAATTATGGCCACTTCCAGAAGGCAGCCATGCAGCCTTCTTCCCCATCCTGAGGCCCGAAGATCTTCAAAAGGTATATGAGGAGGAAGGTGTAGGGCCTGGTGGGGTCAGAATCAGACCTAAGGCCTGTAGGCATTTGGTGGGAGGATAAAATGGTCTGTGGGGACCTGGTGGGTGAGGAAAAGCCCTACAGGAACCCAAGGGATGGGAAGTGGAATATGGGGTGTCTCAGAAAGTGGGAAGGCCTTGGGAAGCCCAGGATCGTGGGCCTGGACTAGACCTCCACGGACCTCCTTGATCATTGAAGCACCTCATGGTTTGTTTAATGACCTACACATTCATTTAATGGCCTCTTTAGGGACAATGGGGTGAAGGTTGTTAAGCAAAGCTGTCTCAAGTGGCTCCAGTACGGTTGTATCTTGAGGACCACCAGTATAGGAAATAGAAAATGGGTATAATTGCTATCTGCATATTAACTAATATCTGCAGAAACAAAAGTAGAAGACAAGTGCAAAGGACACTTGAGCTTTCAAAGAAGATAAAAATATAAAAAGGGTTCCAGGGTTCCTTTAACACAAAAGGAAGGAGGAAAAAAGATAAAAAAGGAAGGGGTAGGCCTATTACGGCAAGGCAATTACAGGTAATAGGGTGAAGGCTTTAGGTTTTTCCCCCAAAGAATACTGTGTTCAAAAAGATTTAAAAGAAGAATTGAGAGACAGAACTGGGAAGGCAAGATAACTGAAGAGATAATCAGAGAACTAGTTACTATGAACAAGTTTCCAACACCATACCAATTACATCTGACAGTCTTAAAAGATCTCACAGAGCATCATTTTAGATACTCTTTCTGTAATCTTTGACAAATCATGGAGGATGGGTATTAGTATCAGAGGACTGGGGAAGAGTAACTGTTGTCTCTTTTTCCATAAAAGGGGAAAAGAAAGACCCAAATAACTATGGACCAATCAGACTGCTCCAAATATTAAATCCAGGTCCAGCCACTGTATTTTAAGGTTACTGATAAACTGGAGTACAGATAATCCTTGATTTACGACTACAATTGGGTCCCAAATTTCTGTTGCTAAGTGAGACAAATTTTAAGTAAATTTTGCCCCATTTTATGCCTTTTTGTTACAGTTGTTAAGCGAGTCACTGTGGCTAAGTTAGTAATGTAGTTATTAAGTGAAATTGGCTTCCCCATTAACTTTGCTTGTCAGAAGGTCACAAAAGGTGATCACATGACTCTAGGACACTGCAACCATTATAAATATAAGTCAATTGCAAAGCATCTGAATTATGATCATGTGACCATGGGGATGCCATAACAGCCGTTAAGTGTGAAAAGTAAGTCACTTTTTTCAGTGCCGTTGAACTTTGAATGATCACTAAGTTGAGGACTACCTGTACGTCCAGCAGAGCAACCAAGATGATTACAGGCCTAGAAGGAAAAACCTATGGGGCACAGTTGGAGTATATTTGGCCTGGAGGAGATAACGCTTCAGAGAGACATAATAGCTTTCTTCAAGTATTTGAAGGGTTAAAATGAGACAGAATTGTTCAGTGCAATTACAGAAGATAGGACAAGAAACAATGAATTTAAATAGAAAATGTTCTGTAGAACAGGCAAAATGGTGGTGAGAATGCTATTGTGATGTAGGAATGTACAAGTGACATCTGAGATCATGTCCAACCGTTACATTCTAATAAATCATTCAATACTCTTTCAGCTTATGTCAGGAAGCCCAATATTGGGCTTGTACAACTATACAACAAGTACTTATGACACAATCAAAGAAATATTATGGAGTCTATGAAATCTATGAACTTTGACTTGTACTGATGATGTTATATAGTTGGATAATAAAATGTCTGCAAGCAAAAAGCCAAGTTCAGACAACACAAAGTATTCCACAGTTCAACTTGAACTATGCATTTTCTCTTCTGTTCAAAGGAACATGATCATGCTATAAGAGCATCCCCAATGAGCAGATATCTTCACAGGGGGAGTTGTGAACACAATCTTGACTTTTTAAAAAAAATTATCCTGCAAATTTCCCTGACAACAATAACTGATTACCAGTCAGAAGTAGTTCCAGACCTCGTGATCCCACAAAATTTCTGACACCCAACTTAATTATTCCTAATTCAGCTGTGATATATTTAAAACTGCAACAAAATTATTTTCTTTTATACCATTTTGGAATGTTAAACTTGGAGGTCTGTTTTTCTTACTGGCAACAACTCTTGCCTTCCAAATCACTGAAAGAAAAAAATTATTCTTCCCTCCTCCTGCCCTCCAACTTCCAGAGCTTCTTTTTAGAATATAATTTCTTGGGAATTTTTGTTTCAAGTAGTCTCTAGGGGGAAAAAATCAGCTAATAATCTGATACTTTGCAGCTAGCAAGGCAGAAGAGACATATAGACAAAACATTTGTCAATTACACCTCTGTTCATTCTGAAATATTTTCCATAAGAGAAAGTCTGGAAAGATCTACAATTCAAAACGTCTGAGGCAGTTCAAAACATTTGAGACTGTATTTTCCATTTTGGCATCACAACAAATAATTGTCTAGGACAATTTGCACTGGCAACATTTTGGTGCCTAGTTTCAGAGAGCAGGACTAACGAGACTTTGGCTCCCATGAAAGCCAATAGTCTTTAAAATACCACATGATGCCAAGGAAGGGATTCAGAATCCAATCTACCTCACATCAAGACGCTACTTTAACTCTTTCTCTCTTGGCCACTCTAGGTATCCTGGTGATCCTGTTTCACACTCCTTTCTGGCCACTCTCTACTTCCTGATTTGGTCCACATCATACTTTTTTCCTCCCCGACTGGGAACTGTAAAGATGTCACTGTCTCTGAATCCAGGTTTGCTTGTACATTTAAGCACGAAGGGCACTTAACATTTTATTTTTCCCCAAACTGAACCATTTTAGTTTCTTGCATCATATAGTCTGTTTTTATTTTTTTAGCAAGCCCTTCCTTTCCTGGGACGAATGAGGCACATGCGAAGTCTCCTGGGAAGGGAGAAGTTGCCTGCACATGTTCTGCCCGTGGGGCCGTCGAAGCTCTGGTTGCGGATGGGACTCACGTTCTTCTTTTGGCGGGACAAGGGCCTATGGATATCAGCAGGGCTGGAGTCCTCCCTCAGCTGGGATGTGGCTACAAATGCAGCCTGG